TCAACTGATCGTCCCAGGACGATCCCAGATCGTCCTGGACGATCCTGGAGCAGATTTTGATATTACATCAAGTCTGTTGCTTTATGTACCAATTCTCTGGTAAAGAAAATATCAAAAGCAATTATTATCAAATTAATGGGTTGGAAGAATGGCAAGGAAATAAAAGAGGCAATGAATCTGGCTTATTACTGATATGGGTACTTTTTGATCATGGACTCGTGAAGGGAGGTTTTGGTTTCTTACTATGCTGTAGCTTGCTGATTTGAATGGTATAGTTTATCCTGTATGGGTACCGATGCGCTAGGAGTGCTGTTGTCAAATTTTTTTATGCCCATTCCATTTATAAAGAAGACCCTGATCTGATTGGCTATCTCTGAGGCAATCTAAAGACTGACAAGCATGCTATTGGGCTGTGGACAATGATGACAAATTGCTATCATTTTTATGGACGGCCCTTGGGCAACCAAAGATGGAAGGATTATACGTTTTTCTGAAGAAAAGAATTTTCTGAGTCCCACCCAGCTTCACAGGCTTTTGTCTGTTTAATTCATATGACATCCGGTTAAATTCTATTCAAGATGGTCTGTTGTTACTGATTTTATTTCAATTTTATGTTGTAAATGTCTGTAGCTCTTTATTTTGTCTTATTTTGTTAGGTCTGAACTTTTAAGTTTTAAGTTTTTATTTTTTTGTCTGTATTTTCTTTTGTTATCAATAAAATGGGCTATGCCCTAAATTTTTCCCAAAAAAATAAATAAATAAATAAATCATTAATCGTGTAGCTTTAAATGAGGCCAGAGTGTTTGGCCTACCGAACTTCGAAATTTCAACGGTCCAAAATGCCATAACGTGGCTAGTTTTGTCGGCCTCGCCGCTTGATCTTCTTCAACATGTCTAAAGGTTATATTAATTTTTTTTTTTTCGAATGGTGAATATGTGATCCGTATTCCTGAATTCTCCGTCAATCGTTGGACCACCGATATAAGTTAGTAAAATATGAAAAACTGAATTAATGCGTAGTAATTATAAAATTCACTTCATCCCAGTGGTGCTTATTGCTGCTGCGAGCTGCGAGCTGCGAGCTGCTTTGCGGCAAGGCTTGAGCTATTTAAGAAGCTTCAAAGCTGCCAGACAGAAAGAGAGAGAGAGAGAGAGAGAGAGAGAGAGAGAGAGAGAGCAAATACAGTTTTGACAAGCTGGCGAGCCTTACTCTAGTAAGCATTCGATCGATTGTTTTTCTCAATTTCTTGTGCCTGTTCTTCCCTCCTGTTCTATTCCTCTCTTAGTTCGCTAGATTTTCTGAAAATTTTAATTCTTGTCCTTCTTTTTTTTTTATTGTGGGTTTCTAAAAGAGCACTGATGATTATCTAAGAGTATTTGGAGCAAAACCATCCGTGAAGACAATCAAGATCGCTTCTTTACAGGCAGCACCATGCTTTCTTTTCCAAGAACCGAAATTTAAATTTTTAACATTTTTATCTCAGGATGTTCTTAGTAATTATGGCACAGCGTTCATTCATCAGATATGCAACAAGACATAATTTTGTTGTGCGGCCTGCACGTTTAATTTTATTGGCTTTGCATGTAAATCATATTAAAAAGAATTTGGCGCTGAACTGAGAGAGCCAAGAATTGCTCTGTATTCATGTTCACTCTCTTGCATAAAATTTAGTACTTGTAAATATCATGAAAGAGTAATGATTTTTATGGTTTATTGTATTTTGCAGTTAGGGGAATTAGCCGAAACTTATACTGTAGATGATGCGCTAATTTCTCTGGGATTCGGGAACTTCCAAACCCTAGTGCTTTTTTACTCTGGGGTGGCTTATGCTGCAGAAGCAATGGAAGTGATGATTCTTTCTTTTATTGGCTCAGCTGTTCAATCTGAATGGAATCTTTCTCCCCATGAGAAGAGCCTTATTTCTAGTGTAGTGTTTGCTGGCATGCTTGTGGGAGCATATACTTGGGGTGTTGTTTCAGACAACTATGGAAGACGGTTAGTGAGAGCATATTATGTATTGTATTCCTTAATTTACAATGTAAATATATGCTCATTTTGTTTACTTTTAAATTTTTCTTCAGGTTAATTGTATTTGATTTCTATTGCCAATCATATATATATTTTGGGTATTTTGCAGTCTAAGGTAAGATTTACAAAATCGTTTTGTCTTGTGTCTTTGGACATTTGATATTTCATGTTTAATTCATATAAAATAACCCGAGCATGCTGATACCATGATTATATTTAAAAAACTTACTAGAACTGGAAGGAATCGATGTGCTGTAATTTTTTTTTTACTAAAGCTCAAATAACATAGGGTTGCATTTGCACCTTTTGGTGATTATGCTTCTTATATTGATCATTGAGCTTGGCTTCTTATATCGATCATTGAGCTTGCGTTAGTGTGTTTAATTGTACGATTTTTCTATGGTGATATTTAAAGAGAAGTTCTCTCTTAATTTTGGATATTACCAAAACTTCAAGCTTTATAAAGCTTTCACCTTTTTCATTTGAACTTTTCATGGTTGGTGATTTAAGGACAGGCTATAGCACTGAAATGTACCTGTAATAGAAACCATCCAGACAATTCAATCCTTGATGGAAATTGTATGTTGTTTTCCATCATCTTCATTGAAAAAATGGATTCTCTTTCAATGTTGCATGTGCAAGAGCTTTGGAGTCTTTCTAATTTGTAAAAACAATAGTTTTTTTGTTGAAAGCATGAGAAGATAAACAAATTGGTTCAGGTAGAGCTACCCCGTATGATAAATGTGAAACTTCTATTCTTAGAGCCTTTAAATGTTTTCTTGGTATTGCATTGTTACAAACACACGTTAGTGAGATTATTTGGTGCCTTTGGTCAAATAAAGGGGTTATAATTAATGTGTTTGTTCATTAATTACCTTTTTCAAATTTACATGTGCGGTTAAAATGGGAGATTTTTTCTTTTAAGAGTAGAGTTAAAACAAAGACAAGCAATGGCATTCTCCTTTTCTATTATATTGCAATACACATTTTTCTTCAAGGCCTTTTGGAGCATGTAAGAACATTAAGTTTAGCCCAATGGATGTTAGATAAACAATATACATTATAGTATATCATACTCAATGATTCACACTCCATAATAGATACTATAATTTAGATAACTCTTAGTTTGTAAAATATATAAAGCAAACTGCTCCTTAATTTCTTTTAACCCATACATCTAAAGTTTTATTTTCAGGAAAGGTTTTCTCTTTACAGCAATAGTGATGAGTGGGGCTGGTTTTCTCAGTGCGTTCGCACCCAACTACATTTCTTTGGTCATCCTTCGATTTTTTGTTGGGGTTGGATTGGGAGGTGGACCAGTTCTTTTCTCTTGGTTTCTTGAGTTTGTTCCTGCTCCCAGTAGAGGTTCTTGGATGGTGTTCTTTTCCTTTTTTTGGAGCATAGGCACAATCTTGGAGGCTTCACTTGCATGGGTATGATCTCTTTCTTAGTGCCAATAGAAACTTTCTTTGATGATTAATTTCATTTTGTTATTAAATCTAACACTTATATGAAAATATTCTTATTTTTCTTTAGCAATTTTCTTTAGACTGAGATGACCTTTCCTTGCCTTTATGTTGGTTTCTTTGGTAATTTTTCTTTTCTTTCTCCTTTACATATATATCCAGGATATATCAAGAACCTATAAGATCCTCGTTGGAAACTAGCAATGGACATTAAAATTGATGCTTATAGATATATAGATTTAGTTTGAGAGGTAGTGTTGATACATTTGGTAGGAAATTATATTGAGGGATATGAATATTATATTGGGATATATGTTTCTATGTCACATTATTAGGATATTATTCTCTTTTATTTATTTACTCTCTTATGCCCATCTAGAGGACTAAACTTATGCATTAAAGACATAAATTTTCCTCCTATAACAGCAGGAAAATCAAATTTCACCCTATGTTGTGCTATTCCCAGTAATCCAGTAAGATTAACTGCAGAAATCGTTTTTGGAGAGGTTGTAAATTATTTATTTTTTATTCCACGGAAAAAATTTATTTTGACAAATGAAAAAAAACTTCAGAAGTCGTTACTTAGCTTTAACGACACACTCAATGTTAATGTATGACAATGAAACTTTTATCCAATATGATAATGCTGAAGACTCATTGCTCCTAAACGTTTATATGCAGCTAGTCATGCCAACATTAGGGTGGAGGTGGTTGCTAGGACTATCCTCTTTGCCATCATTTCTGTTGCTTATATTTTACAGTATTACCCCTGAATCACCAAGGTATCTCTGTATGAAAGGAAGAAAGTCTGATGCAATGCATGTTTTGGAGAGCATAGCTAGAATGAACCAAAACGTGCTTCCTTCTGGTGAACTTGTCTCTGATCGTAAAGCAGAGGCTGCTGAGCTTGAGGAGAATACTAATGGTTTTCAAGGCACTCATGCAGAACAAGTGCGTAAAAGTGGATCTTCATTAATTGGATATCTTGCATCTAAGTTTAAGTGTATTGGTGCATTATATAAGCTTTTATCACGGAAGCTTATAAGAACAACTCTTCTTCTATGGATGGGCTTCTTCGGGAATGCTTTTACATATTATGGCGTGATTTTACTAACCTCTGGGCTAAGTGATGGGGATGAAAATTGTAAACCAATAATGTTGCATTTGAAGAGCAAAGAGGGCTCCAATCTTTATAAAGATGTTTTCATCACTAGCATGGCTGGTAGTGTTTCAGAAATCCTTCTCATTTATGTTGTTAGATTTCCATTAGTGAAACAGCGTTAGCATTAAGTATAAAGTGCTTCTTACTGTGATCTTATTTCCCTTTTTGCAGAGGTTCCAGGGCTTATTCTATCAGCTGTGATTGTTGATAGAATTGGTCGAAAGCTTTCAGTTGCATCCATGATGTTTGCAACTTTTGCTTTCTTGATCCCATTGGTATTTCATCAGAAGGAAGTTTTTACAACCGCACTTCTTTTTTGTGCTCGAATATGTATAACAGGAAGCATCACCACTCTTTCTATATATGCTCCAGAGGTAAGTATGTGGAACGATGTTCTTTAATTTGTATAGTTGAATAGTTCTTTCAAACAGCTTCATCTCATGCATAGCGTCGGTCCGGGTTAATAAGCCAAACCCACCTTTTAATAAATAGTTTTCTTTTATTTAATTTCTTTATTTTCAATTATCTTTTCTAGTTTTGAGCTTATAAATAGGAAGCCTTGACAAAATCATTTCAGATTTTAGTGAGTTAGAAACCTAGCTAGAGAGTTGGTGGCTCATGTCTAACTTTGATCTCTCTTTTGGATGCTAAGAAGCATTTGGGCATTGCCTAAGAAGGGGTTGAATTTGGTTGTTAAAATTTTTATTATGAAAGTTCATGAAGAAACTAGCCCGAGGCTTACCAAGAGGGGGGGAGGGGGGTGAATTGAAAATTTTAAAAATTATCTCGAACTTCAAATAATAATGACAATATTTTTGAAAAAAAAATTCAGAAATTGAAAATACCAAATTCTAATTGATTGCGAAAAAAAACAAGTTTATCAAAACAATTCATTTACTACAATTATATTTCGATTTACGAAACGAAGCAATAATTACCGATTTTCCCAAGTAGTTATAACAAAAATAAAATACACGAAAAATAAAAATTCGAAAAGGAAAGAAAACACACCAGAGATTTTTATAGTGGTTCAATTAACCTTGACCTACATCCACTCCCGGAGTCCTCCGCTCCAAGTATTGCACTAATCACTAAGTGACTCTTCTTTTACTCCCACAGTAAGGCAGAGAAACCCTTTTGCTTCGAAGGGAGCCTTCAAGACTCACCAAGGCCATAGGAGGAGTAAGGGTGTAGCTAGTCTGGAGCAACCGTGTGATCCCATCACACTCCTCTCTCACGCTCAACCTCACCTTCTCCTTCCTCTTAAACCCTAGATTTCTCAAAAACTTCTCTCTCATACTACCTTCAGCAGTCACACAATTCTCTTCTCATTATGAAGAGACTTTAACCATAGCTTATAGTATTGGGCTTCTAGAAATCCTAAAAATTCAAATTAGACATCACTGTTTATACAATACGATTTGAGTTCGTACAGTACGATAAATTCAAAACTAGACTCGTCAGTACGATGTAAACAGTTGTTCAGAAGAACTGTTCAACTTTTCAAACAAATCGTACTATACGATTCAAAGATCGTCCGATACGATCTGTTAGCTTCTCTCTCTTATTCATCTAGGATGATTATCGGGACAATTATAAATCATTCTGTATGTCGTCCTGTATTGTTATCATCGTATTGTACGGTTAGTATATTTCAAGTAGGTCGTCCAGTATGATTAGTTCAAAAATCATGATTTTATTTGGTATGATCTTTGGGAAGACCAAATTTTATCTATGAATATTGTATGATATTATTAATATCGTATAGTAAGATCTATTATCATTAATTAAACCATAATTTGATTGACTAATTACCGGGGTTAAGTAAGATTACAAATATTCGTATAGTACGAATCATATCGTACAATACGATTAGTTCAAAAATCGAATTTTAAATATCTTAATTTATCCGATGGCTAGGGTTTTCAAATCAAAACAAATCGAATATCACGATCCAAATCGTATTAGTTCATAGAAACTAATTATTCAATTAGTCATTAAGCCCATTTCTATACTGATCGTATAATACTATTGTAAGTCGTACAGTACGATTGTAAGTCTTACAGTATGATTTGTATAAAAATTTAAACTTTTAAAATTTATCTCACTCCCCCTATGTGTGTGCCAGTCACCCAATTGCATACACTCTTTTGTGGTCAAACTCAAGAAATAAAAAATAAAGAAAAATAAAATTACATACTTTGTTTACTTTACATTCCTATTCTTCTCATTCTTGAGCTTTCAATAACCTTGAGCAGTGTATGTCTTACTGGCAATGTTAGTGCTCACAGATAGAAGAAATATCTAAAATATTCAATGAGAAAAGTAACAATTCAATCAATAATGTTTGTCATCATCAAAATCACAACTAGAAATTCTGAATTGCAACATTCTCCCCATTTTTGATGAAAGCAAACAATGTTGGTTGATAGATAAGATAAATTTGTTTTTCCCCTAAGCTCCCCCTCGCTATGTGATAGATTTGAAATTTAGTGGTTACAATTTTTTTTTTTTTGAAAGAAAAAGAAAAAGATAACAGAAAATAATGTAAAACAAACACATATTCTATTAAACTAAAACATACATTCAAACATATATTTTCTCCCCCTTTTGACATCACCAAAAAGAAAAGGAACAACAAACTAAGTGAACATTACAAGAAATAAAAATAGTAAAACAGAACAAACAAACACTAAAGGTAAGGCGGATCCTGATTAAGTGGTGGTGGTGGTTAAAAGTATTGATGGATGGAGGCAAATTGATTGTCAATTGAGGAAAACATTTCTCTAAATCATCTCATTTCTTCCTCGTGTTGTTGTTGTTATTGTTGTTGTTAATTGTGATAGTTGAGTCTGGTTTCTAATCGCTCGAGTCGCTGAATTATGTCATCGTGAGGGTAGGAAGGTGTAGGCAGTGGTACTGGTGGCGGTGCAGGTCCACCTATAGGAGCAGCTTCCCCTTCAGCAAACTTTGGCTCGTCATTCTCGTGCACTCGATAGAAAATAATACGAAAGGAGGCATGCTTATAAAAAATGGGAACATTATCAGGAGGAGCAAGATAGTTAATTTGTTATTTTTGTCTAAGATATATCCTATGATGTATCCTAATGCAACATTTTGCTTTCTTCATGTATTTGTATGTCGAACATGAGTCATAGTTTGGATATAATCAAGAATCATTTGGGCTTCATCAAATTGGGTATTTGACATCATTAGGCAGGTGACTATGGAAAGAAGTGGGGTTATGTTAACCCAATCCCCAGCTTTAGGTATAATTGAGGTTCTAAGGATATGCATGATAACCCGTACATTCTTATTTAAGGATTGGACTAATGGTGGATGTTGGTTTATAGCCACATTCCTAATAGTCAAGTTAATAAAACTCCAGTCAAAGTCAATTGAAAAGATAAGGGATTGTAGACTAGGTCCTTTGGTAGAAAGATCGATATGTTCCCCTAAGTCTTCCTTAGTGATCTCTACGGGTTGTCGACATACATATGAACTCATGTCAAAGGTTTCAAAATTTAGCCTAAGGTTTGCTAAGAATTCATAAAGCAGTTCAGAATTAATGAAAAAAAGCTAGTGTGAGGAAAAATTGAAGAGTTGTGGAGGCAAAGAGGTTTATCATCTCGAAGTTAAGTGCTATCTGATTTAACATCATAGACAGGCTATGATGCACCGACACTTATACTCAAAGAGGCGTGCAGTGTCCGACACCGTGTCCGACACGCCACTCGCCCGACACTCCTCCGACACTTGTCGGACACACCGAAAACGTGTCCGATTAAAAAATATTAAATACAAATTGGACACGCGTGTTCGACATGCGTATCTTAAATATTTTATGAATTTTGTTAAAATATAAATTCTTGTATTTGGCAGGATTTAAACTAAATTTCTTATTTCCTATCCACAACACCAAATCAACATCTGCACCTAATACCCAATCATCGAATATTCTCATTTTCCTTTCTTTTTGACAGTGAAGGTATTTTCATCTTCTCTATCGGTGACTGATAGACGGCATCGACACGTGACTCTCGACATCTTAATATTAATCATTTTAAGCACAAATTCTAGTTAAATGACTTATTATTTTCAAATTATTTTTAAAATTATACTTATTTAATTTTTATACACTATTTTTTAAATATAAAAACTATAATACCGTGTCCAACCCGTGTCTGTCCTGTATTTTCAATAACTGACGTGTCCGTGTCCGTGTCGTGTCGTATTCGTGTCGCCGTGTCTGTGTCTGTGCATCATAGTAGACAGGGTGATTTTAGCTTACTTTAACTTGTAGTAGGCATCTTCATCCCTTGCGGATGGAAAACGATCGTCAAAGTGAGGAGTGGAGGAGCTCCCCTGGGTCATTCTGTCGTGTTCAGGGGTGTAAACGAGTCGAGTCGAGCTCGAGATAGGCAGAGTTCGAGCTTGACTCGTTAGTTAAATACTGAGCTCGAACTCGAGCTCGAGCTCGAGTCGAGCTCAGAAGTCGAGCTCGAACTCGACTCGCGGCACAGAAAATAGCTCGTCTAGCTACTCGTCGAGCCGCTTGATTTAAAATTTCAGCCCGTAATTCGAGTTTCCCGCCTGCCATTTGCAGTTCCCGCCTGGTTTCTTGTTCAGCGGGCCAGCGGCAATGCAGGCGCTTGAGTGACCGCGGTGCTTTTCCCGTAATCCCATGGAAAAAATGATGACTTAGCTTTTTTTATTTTTTTTAAGCATTGGAAACTGACAATGCCAGAGGATGTACCTTGGTGTATGCTTTTTGTTAATGATATTCTTCTTGTTGATAAGACTAGAGAGGGAGTTGAAGGTAAACTTGAATTATGGAGGTCAACCTTAGAGTCTAAAGGTTTTCGCTTGAGTAGATCTAAAACGGAATATATGGAGTGTAATTTTAGTAGTAATAGACCTAGTGAGGGGATTGTGACTTTGGGCGATCAAGTCATTAATAAGAGTACACGTTTTAGATATCTTGGATCTATTGTTCAGAGTGATGGTGAAATAGATGGGGATATTATCAGCAGAATTCAAGTTGGATGGTTGAAGTGGAGGAATGCATCGGGCTTGTTATGTGATAGAAATGTACCCCTCAAACTTAAGGGAAATTTCTATAAGATGGTAGTGAGGCCTGCAATGCTTTATGGTGCTGAATGTTGGCCTTTAAAAGAGAAGCATAATACTAAGTTAAGTGTGGCAGAGATGAGGATGCTTAGGTGGATGAGTGGCTTTACCCTTAGAGATAGGATACGAAATGAGCATATACGTGAAAAGGTTGGAGTAGCTCCAATAGAAGATAAGATTAGAGAGAGTCACCTTAGATGATTTGGTCACATAAAAAGGCGGCCTTCCGACGACCCAGTTAAGA